ATGCTGAAAAAAAAACCCAAAATGCATATGGAAAAAATACTATTAGGCTATTAGATATGAAACAATATATAGTGTATCATGTATGGTACTGTGAAATTCAGGAAAGCACCCAATCAAATCAGTTGCTAAAGAAATGTCTATTATACATCAAAACTAATAATACAAACTAGTTTATAATTATGCAGAAAGTATCATTCTGGGCCTTTATAAATGGAAGGTTCAACAGGTCCTATAAGAAATTCACCAAGTTCAAGAGAACCCAATACTCAGGCAAAGTGATTTCTTTTGCAAACAACAGAATGAGATTTAATTTCTTCAGATTTCTACCATGAGCATTCCATTCTACTGTACATTTCAGTTGAGCTCAAAAATTACAAAAGATACGCAATTTTAAAAATGCGATTATTTCTGAACTCTCAGATGTTAGCAAAAAGCAGCTTACAAAGATTTAGTTATTCCTGTAGGCATGCTTCCATATATTTGCAAGTACACTGCAGTTCTCCATTATGTGCAGTAACATCTGTACCGAGTTACCAAGAACCTTTAAAACAGTATCCATTATTGAATGATTTGGTAACCTTAACTGAGTAGCAAATGAAACATCTAGTAAAATCTATTCATTTCTGCTATATAAATATTTCCTACTAGTACTATCTAAATATTTATGATTTGGAAAAAAATCGGGTATGCAGCCTGATTCTTTCTGAATGAAAGGAAAGCAAATGATATTCCTTTTTTACTTTTCTTTCCAACTAAACTTTTCTATCCTGCTTCTTTCACTGTGCTCACCACTTCTGGCATACACTATATTAACAGTGGTCTTAATTACTGATTTATTCTGTAACAGCTCATTATAAAACTTATAATCTTAGAATCATAATCTTCAACTCCAGGGAAGTTGAAGATGCGTAGTTTCTTCAGAAGAGAGAATTTAAAATTGGAACATGAGATAAGCAGACCATAAATACACTGATTTCAAAACCTGAAGAGTTCTCATGTAATAGCAGACATTAATCTGTCTTAATTATTGAAATCTAGTGAAACTAACTAGTGAAAAAGTATATTGGTCATAACCAAATTTGATATGTATTATATAGCAAATTTTCCTTAGATTTGTACTCTGATCCTCCTTATTGAACTCTTGCATTGTACTTTTTCATATTAAAAATGCAAGAAACATTAAATATCAAGGTACTTTGCAATCTCACTTCTAATTTAAAAAACTGTGCCAAATCAAAGGAACAAGGCATGAATGCAATGCAGCCACTGCTTTCATTAAGTTTCAGTGATTAAGACATATATAAGTTGTTTGTGTCCACTGGAAAATTTGCAGTACTCTTTTTCAGATATTCAGATAAAGCATACCATTTATTGGAAAAAAGAACTAAAAATAGCTTCACCTTTAACATTGGATACTAAAGAAAAAAATGGCAGAGGGGGAGCAAGACTGTACGTAGAATCCACAGCTGAGGAATAAGAGAATATTAAGGAAGAATTCAGCTGGTGCCAAGTTGACACCAGGCTTCTTGGCTATTTCATTCTAAACATAAACAATTCATATGCTTTAAATGGTCAAGCTGCTATCTGGCTTTTGGCAGAACTCCAGAGAAAAGTTCTACTGTTATAAAATGGCCAATGAAAAACATGCCTCTGACATGCTTTGGACATTCTTGTGAGTTTGTATAATATTAATACTTTATTTGCTTAAGTATTTTTAGTGTAGGGTCTACAGTAATTCAGGGTTTTATAGTAAGGGCCTGCTTTGAGTCATGAGTTGCAATCCTTATTTTCTAAACCTTCAAGAAACTTACAGGATCACTTTATTCATCCCTATTGCTATTTTATTAACAAATTCCAGCTGTATTGCACTACTATAGCCAGTTTAAAATAGTCAGAAGTCCTCAGTTAAGAAATACAGTATTTTGTGATTATAATTCACTGATAATTTTAGACAATATAGAAAGTTATGATTAAAAATAAGAGGGCATACACAGAAACAGTAAGTTGCTAGTTAAGACCACCCACCTATCCAACTCAACAATGCTCTACTAGCATTAAATATTAGAATATTTCTACACAGTTGTTTCTTATAAACTTGTATTTTCTATCCATTTAAAGCTAGAAATCTGTAGTACTGATAGGAAACCAAGATGGAGTCAATAGCCGGCAGCTATATAATATAGGTAAGCTTAGTGTGCTATCATTCCTGTTATTCAATTTTAGATATTAGAACACTATAACTGGGCAATATGCAAATACTGCTGCTACACTGTAAATCGCCCAGAGTGCTATACCAAACCTGCATTAAGCTGTTAAGAGATGAGATTTCAGAATACTATCATATTCAAATTAAAAGGCCATATTCTAAGGATTGTATATATTTCCATATTGCCTGTAGCACCATCTAAGCTTATTGAAACATTGACAAAACTACCTTTAGCATATGCAAAATCGATTTACAGGGCAACAAAGAATCCTCCTTCCTATTCAAATTTTTCTGTACAGATTGTCTGAAGGTATCAGAATTTCCACATTAAGAGTTTACAGCAGAGGTGGGGAATGATGATCTCTTATAGACTTCAACTCCCAGAATTCCTGAGCCAACATGGTGGCTCAGGAATTCTGAGACTTGAAGTGCATAAGTAATAAAAGCAGTGGTGGGATTCAATTTTTTTGACTACTGGTTCTGTGGGCGTGGCTTGGTGGGCATGGCAGGGGAAGGCTACTGTAAAATCTCCAGACGTGGTATTTGCTGGTTCTCCGAACTTCTCAAAATTTCTGCTACCGGTTCTCCTGAACTGGTCAGAATCTGCTGAATACTACCTCAGCTAAAAGGGCTATCGTTCCCCACCCATGGTTTATAACATTATGTCGCCGCTGTTGTGGCAATATTCCTGATTTAAGACAGGCTTTATATTACCACAATAATCAGATGCCAGTATAAAGTGATATTGCAGAAATGATTCTGTAACATTTTATGTATTTCATATTTGATTACTGGGAAGAGCAGCTTACAATTTGGTTGATTAGTTGTGGCAGCACAACTAATAATTTTCCTCAGGCAATGTCACTATTCCCTCCACTGTACTATATTGAGACCTATTGTACAGTCTTTACAACTCTAACCAGTAGAAAATACTATCACAGGAGCTACACAAAAGAACGTAATGTGATAAAATAAAAACCGCCTACTGGGGGCAGAGAAAACTGTCTAATCAGCTATGATAAATCACAATAATGTTTATATTATGGATGGCAAGAGATTCTAATCCTAACTTTTATGAATTTAAACTTCAAGGAATCATGTTAGAGAAAAAAACCCACCCTATTATGTATTCAGGTTGGATATTCAGCAAAAAAAATCCAAAACACTACCACTTATACAGAGGTAAGTTCTACACAGAAAGGGATTGGTTTCCATTAGTGATGCTATTTAAATACAGCTAAATTATCTGCTGTATGAAACTAATAGAATATCAAGCTTCAATGATGTAAATTCTTTAAAAAAATTTAATCCCACTTTTTCCCACAAGTTACATGCACCTAGATCAATCATGTGGTAATTCCACATTAAACCAGCTATACTGTACTCAGATAACCTTCACTAGTTTAATATATGTATGTAGATAACAGCATCTCAAAGTGGCACAGGCTATGTAAGATCTTTACAAATACCTAAGTTTTCTGTATATCTGTGTCTTTTTCTGCTAAAAATCATACCTCATAATTTTCACTATTCCATATATGACTTGAATAAAAATTTATCATTGATCTAATAATTCAGCTTACAAATAACATCTCCCTTTAACAATGCTAAATCATTTGATTAAATACATCCACAAACAATCAAATACAAGTAAGTTCAAATTTACAACTCCATCTTTATATTAGTACTTTCTCATGAAATGTCAAGATGTTTTCCAAAGCAACTGGCAAGTTAATTTCAATCTATTTTTCAACTTTCTAGTCACCATCTTAGTTTTTCCAAACATTATGCAAAATTAGAAAACTGTCTTCCATTTGTACTCCCTTTAAAAGGAAGGCAGACAGCAATACAAAACTACAGATTGGAATTATGGGATTGGACTAGAGATTTTCCAATATTTTTTTTAAACAGCTTACATTATACATGCTTTCTATTGAGGTAAAGTTTAAAATCACTTTGTAACGCATACCAATAAAAGTAGTCAGCAAATACACAAGCAGCCCTCAGACCTGAATTCCAATCAACCGCCAAAAGGTATAGATTTCACTACTGCGCCCATCACCAAAACTACAAGCAATGTTTCCCAACCTGCAATAATCCCAGCACCGCCCCTGCAGAGAATCTACATTTCAGAGGTTCGCGTATTTATCCGAATCAGCAAATCGGGGAGGGCAGATCCTACTGAGCATTTTTTTTTAATGGAATAACTATAAAATTCCACCCTGTGGTCGACAACCAAGTAACGGAGCCTTCATATATATTGGAGAAGAAGGTCCTCCGTCCGCCCAGGCCTCTCCTTCCCATCCAAGGCAGGGAACCGCGAGATCTCGCTCACCCAGCCCACATCCCATCAAAAGCTGCCTTCCATCCCAAACTGCGCCTTCCCAGCCGGAGACCCCCGCGGAGCAGCCGCAATCGGCCACGAGGGGCCTACGATCCGAGCCCCCAGAGCCCGCCCGTCTCCATCCTCCGACCGAAGACCACTTCCATCTCTTCTCACCACCACCACCACCACCACCCCCGGCCTTACAGCGCAGACACAAATGCAGCCATTGCGCTTTCTCTCCTCCCCCCCACCCCGCGGTTACCGCTGCCCGCAACGCCAGCGGAGGCCGAGGCCGTCCCCCCTCCAGTCTGCGTCGTCGCTGTTGGGGTTTTTTTGTTTTTGCTTTTTTTTGTTTTTGCTGCGCTCAACGTCTCCCGCCTTACAAGGCCTCGTTCTCCCCGTCAGCCCCCTTCGCCCACTCCCCGCCCCGCAATCCTTCCCTCCGAAAGAGCCGGGCCGGGCCTATACCTGGCGCCGCAGCCTCTCAGCTTGCCTAAAAACTCCGCGCCCGCCCGCGGAAGGAGCCTCCGTCTCCCCAACTTAGGCTTCGGGTCGGGTCAGGCTACTGCTCGAGCCGTCGCCTCCGCCTTCTTGTTTCTCCTCCTCACGCAGCGGCCTCTCCTTTCGTCGGCCTCTGCCCTCGCAATCCAAGCGCAGCCAGCAGCGCAGACATGTTGGAAGCCTGTATCCCAGCGGCCGCTACTAGGCCCTCCCTCCTTCCCTGCCGCGCAACGTCAGAATGCACCGGGTGGGAGGAGGGGACAAGAGCCCCCTCCCTTACCAGAGCCTCGGCGAGAGAGAGCGAGAGAGCGTGTGTGTGTCGAACCGGTATTTTTTTTTAAAAAGGAAAAGATTTACCTTTACTGGTCGCAATGACGGTCATTCAAACGCTCTGGTCCCCACCCACATTTCCATTGGATCTCTCACCTGTCAAACCTCACATTCTAAATACCGATTGGATAATTTATTTGCCATTTATAAAACAACGCCCGTTGGCTACGAGTCTCTTTCTCAGCTTCGCATCAATTGGTCGATAGAGGTTAGGTTCCCGCCCTCATCTATGTGCTTCTAGAAAGCTACATGACTATGTAGTATGAAGCTCCATTGGTGCCACACGAGTGCCAATTGACTTATTCACCCCGCCCCATTCCCTACTATTTCTTTCTTTTACAAAACACATACTGCTTTCCCCCTCGCCCGCCTTCATTTTTACCATCATTCAATTGGCTAAGAAAGGTGTCCATCTTACCTAGCTTCCGTGTCCTTTAAAAGAGCTTCTCAAATAGCCGAAGAGACGAGTGTCATTATTGCACCTGATTGGGTAGGGCTGCAAATGAGGCGGGGTAGAGTGGAATGAGAAAGAGGCGGTGTTTGAAAAGCAATCGAACTAGTTGCCCCCAAAGCCATAATGGTCTCTTATTTTTGATTGGCTAAATACTGGAGCGGCCTTCTCTCAAGTACTTACCAGGAACGGGGTGGAGGGGAGAGAGAGAAAGACCCGTATGTTCTGCTGCATTACATCATCGCCAACCAATAGGAAAACACTGAGGGCCTCCTATTACCTTTAGATGACAAAATGGCCTGAAGGTGGTAGATATTTATGTCCAGGCTTTCCGGTGAAGTATGCTTAATTAAAAAAATAAAATAAAATCCCGTTGAATCAAATGGGAAGTAGACTCCAAAAGCATACCTAGGAGCCTTAATACGAAAGAAGCATCTGTGGATTGAATTAAGCCACTTTTCCAAATGCATGAAATTTTAGCCTCAGCTGGCAGATACACACCACCAATCTGCTGGAGGGAGGATGAGAGGAGGTTATCTAAGAAAAAAAGTGGGAGAAAGAAATTAAGAAACCACTCTGGGAAATCTTTGAAAATGTTTTTTTTTTTTATGCATTGCTCAAAGCACTTCATATTTCATTGAAAAAAAAAATTACACTGAATTCAAAAGGCCCCAAAAGAACAATCCAAAGGGTTACATGAGGTACTAGGTTCTAATGGACTTAGACTTATTTAATACAAATATGTACCCTATTCCAAAGTTAATAATTTCATTATTAGGCAGCTACTGAGACCTGGAAGTATTATAGGCAATCTCAAGTATGGCTTTTCTAGCATTAGTTAATGGCAATTCTGTATCACAGCATCAAGCTTCTAGCCCATAAATTCCACCTAGATCAGTGGTCACCAACCAGTGGGCCAGGGACCACTGGTGGTCCGTGAGAAAATTTTGGTGGTCCACAGAGAAATGTCACTCCCAAAGCACCCCCCAAAGCAATTAATCCAGGCTGCACAGGAACACAAGACTCCGTCACCCACATGGCCATCGGGAACGTAAGGCTTGTGTCACCTGCATTGCAAACAACATGAGGTAGTGAGGGGAGGGGGAAAGTGTGGAGCAGGGAACTTGCCCACTCGCCCCCACGCACCTCACCTGGGCACCGGGCTGCTGCTTTCTGCTGCTTCTGCTTTGGGCTGCATGCAAGGAAAGCAGCAAAAGTATTACTTTCTTTTCCCCAAACTCCACCAGAAATGAGTCTTTGGGACCCTGCAAGGCATCCTGCTCCAAGAGGCTGCACCGGTGTGACAAGTCTCACAAAGACTCATTTCTGGCAGAGTGTGGGGGAAAGAAAGACTTCTGCTGCTTCTGCTGCTTTCCTTGCATGAAGTCAAAAGTCTCTCTCTCTCTTTCTCTCTCTCTTTCTCCTCTCTCTCTCTCTGTCTCCCCTGAGAATGGAGCTGCGATCCCAAATAAAGAACGATCGATTTGTAGGAAAACAGGGTGGAGAATTTTCCCAAGGTCTCTGGTCCTTGGGATTTAAAATTCTGAATTTGGTGGTCCCTGAGGTACAAAGGTTGGCTAGATTATGTCGGTAGGATATTTAATCTGGGCTGTGACCTGCTATGAGTTCTCACTGAACAGTTCTCCTTGCTGCACCCTCATAACTCTGCAGCACTGCTAGTTTAAATTGCTTATGGATGGACATTCATACCTAAATCCACAGAGTTTTATTATTTCAAGCAAACAGTGCCCCATCTCCAGTCCTGCAGCCTGGATTCTATGGTAAATGTTGACTAGTAGTAATAAAGCTTAATGATACTACTAATCAAAGAAATGGAACTAGTACTGTAACCTGCAATATTGCAAGGTGGCATTAAGGAATAAGTGAACCGATTATCACAAGACAATGATTTATTGAAATGCTTATCAAAGCTGGTTGCTGTTTCATTTATTTGAGCATGACAGAAAAGTGTTCATTAATTTCCTAAAAAGAATACTTTTGTACAAGTTACCTTGAAACTAAAAAGAAGGCTGCATCTTCTCAAGAATCAATTGATAGAATAATGGAAAATACACAGTTCGTTGTGTCATTGTTTGGGGGTGGAGGGGAGATGAAAGAAACAGATGGAGCACCAGGGCAGAATCATGCAGGCCTGTATTTAGGGCACAGTAACCATGCTGTGCATATGGATCAGTAATGGAATAGAATTGGGTTTTGAAGGCCAGAACAACCAACTGAAATAGATTTGTGCTAAAAAAGGAATTGAAGCACATTATTACATGAACTGGACAGTAGGACAGATACAACTACTTACAGGTAGAGCCAAAAAGCAAAGTTGCATTAGCTTCTGATGAAGGTGAATTGAGGCTAACATCATGCATTCCTATTCTCCACTAATGAGGGTACCTTGCACTTGTGTTGGATATAGAAGTGCTCTTGCCCGAAGCAAGACAAGCCCAATATTACAGGATACTTCTTGTTGGTGTAATGTTAATTACCTAGGAGAATTTCCTTGACATACTGTAAGAGGGCACCCAGTTAACATAAAAGAAAAGCACTGTACGGTTGTGGCCTCCAACTTTTTCCAAAGAAGCTTTATTTGCCATGAGATAAGTTGAAACAATTGTCATACATCAAAAGCAAAGTGTCTAATCTATAGACTATACTATAGAATAAAGAATGGGTGTGCCATTTATCTGTGTCAATTTCAACTTATTTCACAGAAAATTGGGATTATTGGGGGAAAAGAGCAGGGTACTGATACTTTTACCTGTGCTTGTAAAATGTGAAGCCAACTATGATGCAACCTTGTCTATTACAAAGTGAGGAAAAGATTTTCTTTTCCATTTTTGAGGAAGAGAAAGGACCTCATTCTCTTTCTGCTTAGTTGCCTCCTATTCGACTCAAACAGCTAGAATCCAAATTTGTTTGTACATTTCTATACTTGATTTTTATTATTAAACTTCTATGCCACTCATCTCACTGGGGTTATAGATAGTGAAGAGAGCAAGTTAGCATTGATTCCAAGGCTGCAAACCTCTGCACATTATTAAGGTGGATGTAAATTTCATTGGTCAGAATGAGATACACAGTGAACATTTATAACTATAACGTTAGTAACGTTTACCTCCTAGTTCAGTGGTTCTCAACCTTTTCTTCACCACGGACCCTCTTTAAATACCTTTTGTGGCCATGGATTTAAATTATAACATTTCTTCAAGTCTTCATGGACCCCCCCATGATGACATCATGGGCCCCTAGGGGGTCCATGGACCACAGGTTGAGAACCAGTGTCTTGGTTAAATGTGTAAAATTGAACTGCATAGTCACTTGATAATAAGCCTCACTGAATAATGGCCAAAGCTGTGTTGCAGTGCACCTGCTTTGCATGCGGAGAACCCAGGTTCAAGCTTTGGCTTCTCTGGGTATTGCAGAGAAAAGTCCTGCTTGATCATTTGTAAAGCTACTGCCAGTCAGGGCCATCTGTACTGAGTTACATGGATGAATGCTGCGACTGAATATAAAGCAGCTTCTTACATTTCTTAATGGGCTACATGAGCTTCCCCTGCTCCCTACTGTTTTGGACAAGACTGGGCTTTATGCTTCAGCTGGAAAAAGAGGAGGAAGCCTGCTAGGCTAATTTGCTTTATAACATATATTGATAAAATTGTGTGTATTTTATTTGAAACCTCAATACAGCATAAAGTATGTTAAACAGTAAAACACATCTTTCCCTTCCTGCTTAAATTCAGAGCAAGGGAAAATGACATTTCCATCTGGGTAAGTGTGGTCATTCTGAAGAAAAGATGCAAAGTCAATGAACAAGTTATTTGATCATGGTATGGGGTCAGGCTGACAATTAGATCTGCCTTTCCTCACCAACCTGCTGTCTCCCCAGTTTTACAGATTACAGATAAAAATCGTTCAAAGCACTGAAAAAAGAACATTACATCTCTAGGTTTTATTAGCAAAGTGAACAAAGAGAAGTGTTTTCTATTCCTCAATCTCAAAAGTCCCAAAGCAATGAAAAATTAACAAGTAAAATCAAAGTCACTAATATGCTGAAAATATGCAAAGGGACCATAGTGTGAAAAATAATGACCCAGTGTTAAAAACCAGGATCATAATTATTAAAAGCTATTATCTAAATATCCACATCTTTAGAAATCTAACAAAACAGAACAGAAAAACAGAGTTGGAAGCAGGGGTGGGATACGACAGGGTTAACTACTGGTTCGGTGATTTATGATGTGCTTCCCTGCATGCTGCACGCAGGCACCTGTAAATCGTCATCAGCACGCTGCATGCAGAGAAGCAGCCTTTGAAAAAGCCCTCTTTTCCTGCTTTTTTAACTGCAGCTGTGCTTCGCACGGCAGCTGAAGTTTAAAAATCAGGAAATAAAGGTCAGGTAAGAGCCTGGGTGGACGGGTGGGCAAAAACATCAGCAGACATAGAACTGGTTCTGTCTGTTGTTCTTCAGAGCTACCAGTTCTACAGAGGTAGACAGAACCAGTAGAAACTCACCCCTGGTTGGAA